GAGCACTTTGTTTGATTAGGTTAGTCAGGTAATTAAAGTAGGCTTGATGATCAGGCTATAACAAAACAGGTGATGAGGAATCTGCTTTTAATTTGACACGCAGCGCGTCAGTCTATAGACAAGCAAAAAACCCTTAGATGGAGTGTCACAACTATTGTGGAAGCTCTTGTATAGTTTTATTTACGTCCATAAACACACAGACTCGCTTTTAAAAGCATTTAGAGCGAGCCTACGCATGATGCCTTAAAATGCTGCGTCCGTAGGCAGTTAGTTGTTGGCTGCATTAATCTGTTGGGCAGTGTCATTTGTCAGTTTGCCTCATTATCTGCTGGTCTCAATCCTCTTACAGAGCTCTCAGATAAATGACTAATAATCTAACGGATTTACGACATAATGAGATTCCGGAGTCGGCGCCACTCCTTTTCCAGCTCGTGAGGGCAGCGGGAAGTCCTCTTTCTGGACACATTTGTCTTCTTCCTCCTCCTGTTGTCTCCGTCTCTGTCTATCGCCGTCGGGAGTGTGTTACAGTGCGCTCTGTTGTGGGCCACTGAGACAAAATGCAGAATTCACATTATTGTAGCTACGGCAGAGAGCGCACATCCACTCTACACCAGCGGAGTGCGCTATTCATAGATACTTCCTATTACCTGGAAAGAATTACACATTTTGCATTTTTTTCTCATTTTTATTTTTTTATTTTATTTGATTCTGATCCATTTGAATATGTTTATTATAGATATGTAGTGTGTGTTTTCTACATATTCTTGCAAATGCAGTACATTTTAAATAGAACTTTACAAAATATTTCAAAAACTTTCTTTTCTTTCTTTTCTTTTTTTTTTTTTAATTATCAACAGGGCCCAAACAACTGTATGTAGTTTAATGGCTATTTATTTAACACATGATTTTGAGTCTTTTTGCATGATTCATTTAATAGCACTGGATCAAATGAATCATTTGTTTGTAATTCGGTTAACAGTGTTTTTCATTCACTAGAAATAGCTGTTAAATAAGAGTAATGTATTATTAATAATAATAACGATGATGATCATGATGATAACCAGTGTTGAAATACAAAATTAATTTAGTTATTTTGCCTTTTGCACAGTGATATTGCAACACCTTCTCACACGCTAACCCTGTTTGTTAAAAAGTGACGGTGAGGAATCCTGACCAGACCAAGCATCAATATGTGACTGGATGGGTTTGAGGACCTGTTGGATTATGAAGTTGAGACAGAACAAAAAAATGATGGAAATCAAAAATGTTGCATGCTCATTTAATGAAATACAGATTCAAATTTGTCCATGCTAAACTACTTTAACCAATTGAAGTTGTGTGTTCGAAAACCCGTTTGAAAGTCATTACTTTTACAATTCTGTAAGCGATGCAAAAATTCTGGCACAAAAATGACACACTTTACCCTTAAGTTTAGGGATTTGATCAATATCTAGAGATGTGAATATAATAGAGACTTATGGGTGGTGTTTTAGTTTGGGCCAATAATGATCCAGAATAAACCTAAGCAACATCCTACAGAGCACATAAAACACCTCAGCAACAACATTGAAATGTCCTGACAAACACATAGGCACTGTGGTGGTAGGTTTTGCACATGGAAACACTATTCTTTAGAAAATGTAAAGATCTCATATTATCAAGTATTATCATTAAAGGTGTGCAGACAGATGGCTCTGCTTTTGCCCTAAAAATAACTTGCTGTTCACAACATGTGATGATGGGGTTTATTCCTAGCTGACTGAAGTATGTATGAACATACGAAGAGTTCAGATGCAAAAGCCTCTAAATGCCATTTGAAATTTTCTTCTTTAATGATGATTTTTATCAAACTTGTATATTTAAGTTCAGTGATTTCACTTAAATGGCAATGATAATTACCTATTAATTGTTATTTAAGTAAAATTACTGAACTTAAATATACAAGTTTGATAAAAATCATCATTAAAGAAGAAAATTTCAAATGGCATTTAGAGGCTTTTGCATCTGAACTCTTCATACACACATATCCATACTCAAATATGAGATTATAAATTTCATCTGTGGGTTGCTCTCTTATTAATTTCAGAGATATCAGTCATGTGTGCCTGTTGCATACAGATCTGATGCTTTGTGAAAGCACTTGCCTTCACAATTTGTGATTTCACACACACACACACACACACATGGAGAGAGAGACAGAAATTTCCACAAGCGCAACAAGCTCTTTCATAAATAGGAAGGAAACCCGTCGTATCAGAGGGGAGAATTTCACGGGCGGCTCCTAAGCCCTTATCATTTTCTAAAGGTAATGAGAGTCAATCTCCCTCTCTGCTCACTAAGGCCTAACCTGCAGTCTCTCAGGCCCCCTATGTTTAGGCAGGCGGTCTATCACAATGCCTGATAATTTACCTCTTCATAGCTGTGAAATGGAGGAAGAAAATTCAGGTGTGCAGCCGGGGAGTCTCGGGGAGCTTTGTGGCGGCACCGAGACCAACTGACATGCATCGTGTGTGCGTGTCAAGAGAGAAATGACTTTTCTCCTGGATTTAGAACCACAGACGCGGCAGCGAGATCGAGCCACCTGGAACACTCTTCCAACGGATGCCCTCTTTCAGTCGCAACCTCCTGGACTCTCTTTTTCACCCCATGCTTTCTTTTATGCTCTTTCTCTTTCTCTACTAGTTGCTTTCTCTCTTTCTAACTTGCTTTCTCTCATTATTTTGGAAAAGTCTCTGATATTCACTGTAAATCCCAGTCAGAATGTTCTTGCAAAAATCCTCTGGGATGGAGAAATCAGAGGGCAACATTAGATAATGGGCTTTTAGACAGCAGAGCCTATTGAGTGAGATTTCACATCACCTTTTTATGAATTGAGTCTAAAAAGGACTGTTTAAAGCCAATACACAATTTATTAATGTTTAATCTCTTTTTGTAAAATTTCATAACGTGGTGTAATTAATTAGGATGATTTTTAATAATTATATTTTTGATGAGAACTATTTACATTCAACTTATGCTTTTGTCTGCCAATTAAAAAAAATAGTTCTCCTACAAACGAAAATCCTTTCATCGATTATTTACCCTAATGTTGTTCCAAACCTGGAAGACTTCGTTCATATCCAAAACACAAATGAAGATATTTTTAATGAAACCAAAAAGATCTTTGTTTCTCCATTGAAAGTCCATACCACATAGAGATACTGTAAACTCAATCCAAATCAATCAATCAAGCAGTTTAATCCAACTCTCCAACTCTCCACTTTATATGATGATCAGATTTAATATTTATACTTTTATTTACACACTCTGAAGATGAACTAAAGTCTTATTTGGAACAATATGTGGGTGAGTAATTTATGACACCATTTTTTATTTTTAAGTGAACAATCCCTTTATTTCACAGGGGAGTTTTGTTGCTTAACAAACACTTTTCCAAAATTACCCATTTTGACTGTGTGCCCAATAGGATTAAAAAAAAATGTCTCTCTCCTCCAGGCTCCCAAACTCTGTGGCGGGGTGGCCATGTAATTTTATTCATGTTATGTATTTCCATTGTGCCAAATACCCAAATTCTCATGAGTGGCCACGGCACTTTGCAGTGGCCAAAAGAGATTTTAAAAATCATTTGTTCTCCTTAACACTCTGAGATGTCAGTTGTAACATTCAATTACATCAGGTGCTTTCTGTAAAAAAAGTAAATTTGTCGTGAGTAGTTTGGAAAAAAACACTGACAAATTCACCCTGTGAAGGTTGAAATGACCTCACATAACCTCTCAAATCGGTTACCACCCAAATAGGCATTATGACGGTCTTGATTTAGTACTTGTTTCTTGTTTTTGTACCGTTTCTTGTGTCAAAATCATTTCAGGATAGTGTTGTTGAGATATCTGTAAGAATATTGCAGAAAGAGAGAGAGTTTGACGCAGCTACACACTGATGGATAACCGCTGACACCAGAACAAGAGCGACGCGCTTAAATATGAGCCATGATTCACTGCGACTGGTCACTCGGCTCTTATAAATGTTAGAGCCAAATCTTCTCACTCAAGCCTGATTGAAATGGGGGCAAAAGGACAATTTATTAAAAAAAAAAAAAAAAAAAAAAAACACCACTGTGGTGAGGCCAGAATGTCATCAATCATTCACCCAGCCTGACCACTCTGGACCTATAGCTGTCATCTAAGCTGTGATTGACAGTAGTCATACACCACTGACAAGTTATCAATCTAAGCTAAAGAAAGCTGAGGGCTCCGGGCCGTAGCCACGGAGACAGAGATGGCAGAGTGTCCTCGCCTTTACTGCTCTTACGTATTTCAGTGCAGAATTCTCCTTTGGTTCGACTCAGTCCGGTATGTTTCCCATCGGTGCCATAGCACCTCTCCAGCTCTCAAGTGTTAATTGGCTGTAAATGGTTTGGTGCTTTAGCTGGAGTTGACATCCCAGGATGAGCTCTCTTGGCACATCCTTATCCCGCTGTGTGACAAAACGTCTTGTTTATCGAATGGTTGCCATGTGTCTTCTAATGATTATTATACTTTTTTTTTCAGTCTTTCAGAATTGCTTTAAAGTTTAAGCTGTTACCAGTTTTATATACGTGAAACTCGAAAAATTTGAATGTTGTGCAAAAGTTCATTTGTTTTTGTAATTCAGGTTTTCATAAGCTACAAGCCATAATCATCAAGATTATAACAAATAACAAATATTGTATTGTATAACAAATATATATATATTTATTTATTCATTCATTGATTTTTTTTAAAGCTCAGCAGAATATATTTTTCTTATGAACATGAAGTAAAACCCTAGTAAAGGTTATTACATCCACACATTTCAGAAGGTGACCAGAAGGTGTTTGTTTTCAATGAGATTTGACAGTATGAACCTTTGTGATGAGAAAGATGAGACCATCTTTAATGTTGTAGTCAGTGTGAACAACTTAAGAGTGCCATAAATCAATCAAAGTCTCAAACCTAACCTAACCTCTTTTTGTCCGTCTCCAGCTTACCCATGTCCCAGTTGAGGCCTGCGAGCAGTATTCGTCCTGCAACGAGTGTCTGGGTTCTGGAGATCCTCACTGTGGCTGGTGTGTCCTTCATAGCATGTGAGTACAACAGTGGATAATCTTTTGATGATTATTTTAAATTAAAATTAATTACTTAATTGTTACATACGTTATCATTTAGAAAAAGTCAAGTGTGTGGCATTAGAGTTTTTTTTGTTTTGTTTTTTAAACCACCAATCACACATTTCCCACTAACGGATCTCAGACATGTCACGTGCACACACATGGATACACGTAAACACACATACTCATAGATAGCCCACCTTTCCACCCACTGTGTACAACGTGAGGGTGATGGATGCTTCAGGCTCTCAAGGGATGACCACATTTCCCACTTCACTGTAAATTGAAAATTGGATTCTTGTCCTCTTTTGAGGACCCCAGAGGAGCGCGTTTGTGCGGGTAGTTTGTGTGTGGCAGATCTCAATCTTTCACTCAGCTCCATATTCAACAATGTCTATGTCTTAAAACATCACATCGCCCGTGCCACTAAGGAGCGACAGGGCCAGAAGGTGGTCTGCTGGACATTTGCAGTGTTTCAGACCAAGAGCAACGTTACCCTCTTAAGTGCAGAGAGCGAAGGGAAGTAAAGAGATATGTAGAGATTCTGGGCCTATTGCTCTGTGTCTCTCTCAGGGCTTTTGAGTGCACTAGACTTGACAGGGGCCATGGGCATGGCGTTTGCCGCATGGCTTCCCAAGGTCGCGCATGCTTAAAATCTCACACTTATCTGTCTCTCACCCTCTCGCTCTCATCCTCACTTGCTCCCTCTTGCTTTTGTAAAAGTGAGAGCTGCATTTGTGCTGGAGAGTGAGACCATTACATCATTTTAATTAATCACTTCAATTGTTTTTATATAAATTATTTTAATGTATTTATTAGCATGTTGTTTCTAGTAACCAAATAGGTGCAATGCATGCAGGTATGCAGTGTTGAAGGAAATTATATTGTATATTTTTGGAATTTATCGTTATTCTTGTTGATTTTTTTTTTTTTTTTTAAAGACATCATGGAGCAATTGGTTGTCCATTACAGTGTCCAAAGAACACTTTTGCAATGGCTTAAGAGTTTCAGATCACGTCGTGTATTCATACCGTACCTATAGGCTGATCAACCGGCTATGATTGTCCATGAAGGAAAGAGGTCATTTGTGACTGAAAACTGTGCAGTGAGAGAGAGCTGGCTCTTTCTCTCCCTCACTCTGTCATTTCTCTCTGTCCTCTGGCAGCAGAAACAGTGTCAAGTGTACACGGGACACAATGCTAATAAAAACAGCAGCAGTTTGTTGTTTAGCCTCAGGTGATAGAAGGACCAGCTCTCGCAGGAGGTCTTTATGTTGGCTGGCAACACAACATGTATGGCTGCATCTGCAGAGGCAAGCCCTCGGTTCCATTCAGGGCTGTGTCACTACTTATTTTGGACTTCTTTGTCTTTCACTGCATTTTTCACATTATGCATCACTATCCCATTCGCCTCTTCTGTGATTTCATTACTTTCTTATAGCACTGTGTCCTCTCTCTCTTTCTCCTCTTTTCTCATGGCCTTATGCCCAGAGAAAGTGAACAGCCCCGCTCTCTGATGGAGTCAGGCAATCCGACCTGGCCTCCCCGGGTCCCCGGCTGATTGATTGCCCTGGAGTTTACCTTTCCCATCCTCTCCTCCCCTGCATACTTAACCAGGGTCCCTGTAACATGAGTCCTGCCCAGTGAAGGCTCTCTCACGCCAGGCTTGACTCTTGTCAGCACTCCCTGTATTTGTCTGCAGTAATATACCTGTTTTTTTTTTATTGGTAAAGATGGTTAAAGCAGCATATCTTTACACTGACATGCCATAAAGAGATTTTCTGGCATAGTGGCTGTACTGTGGTCTTATTTAATGAGAGATGAAAGGCTTTGTAAACGGATCAATAGAAAAGTGCAGAGATCAGATGGACTGCACTGTCAACCTGTTCATTTTAGTTTGAGAGCATGCACACACATTACAGATGGACGCCAATCCAGGACTGTCTTCCTATCTGTCTGTGTGAAATTTCTAAAATGAAAAAATACAAATCTAAAAATAAAAGCTGATTCAAACTATCAATAAATACAACAATAGTAGCATATAACTTATCCTAATATAACACTGGTTCTTCCTCTTGATAGTTCTTGAAAAGTTAATGCATGGAACTGGAAAATACGTTAAACATCTCTCACCATTAATTTTTCAAGATGTTAGAAAGGACTTAAAAGCAGTTGTCACCTTAATTAAGTATTTATAAGTATAATCTAAGCATATCTGAGTTTTTACTTTTGTCTGTGGCAAATCAGTGAAGTCACAGTAATTTATGATGAATTAACCAAGTAAAAATTCAAAATTGTTTTAAAATGTTTTCAATGATATTTATAACATAGAAATTTGGACACCATCAATATCAATGAAGTCATGCCCGGGTAAGCTCTGTGATTTAGGGACAATCAACAGGATTTCAGTTTCCCCAGCATTAAGCTGTAGGAAGTTATCGGACATCCATGTTTTAAGTTCATGAAGGCAAGAGACAACAGAAGTGGGTGGACATAGTGGGTTGGGTTTAACTGTGAAATAAATTTGAATATCATCAGCGTGAAAATTGAGACCATGCCGTCTGCTGATCTGACCTAATGGCAATATAAATGAGAAATAAAAGAGAACCAATTACAGAACCTTGAGGAACACCATGAGAAACGGTTGACAGTACCTAGCGATTCTCACCTATCCTAACAAATTGCTGTCTATCCAATAGATATGAAGTATAGGGTGGCATACAGTGTCAATTACTGCACTGAGATCCAAGAACCAGAATACTATGGGCACCAGAATCAGAAGCCAGGAGGAGATCATTTAGCACTTTTAAAAGTGCTGTTGCTGTGCTTAAACCATGTAACCATTAGAAAATCCCCAGTTACAATAGTTACCCATGGATTTCAAGAGAACAAAAAGTAGAGCAATATCTGGCTATTTATGGGAAGGAAAAGTTTTTTGTGTAGCTTTGCCACGTCAAATGAAGCAAAAGAAGAAGAAAAACTACAATATAATATAAATAGTCGCCAAGCACCAAATTCAAGCAAGTTTGCTTAGAAACAGGAGATTTGAGGTATCATACATGTCTGTAGCAAAACCACTGGGGCATCAGTTTAACACTAGTGTTAGAGGTTTGTTCAAATCCCACAAGGAAGTCATTAGCTCTCTTTCCTGTTTGAATCTCTCATGACTGTTCTAACACATCAAATTGTATAAAATAGTCTAATGGCACAAAGCAACGGAGGGCTGTTTTGTGTTAAGTGAAGTCAATATGTTGGCCAGCAGAGCATAAATCTAGGAATCTAGACTGCTGGAGAGCTGAACTCTGTGATGAGACGGATCACTCCAGTCCTCCAGAGAGATGCAAAAGTCAACAGAGTTCCACACAATCACCAGAGAGAGAAGGAAAACAACACTCTGAAGGAATGGATGGATGGCTGGGCTTATTTGTTCGACCCACATTCATTGATCATGGAGAAAATGGATCAAAGGGGTTAAGGGTCAGAGGGTCCACTTGATAGGGTGTGTGTGTGTAAACCACTTGGGGAGATTGTGTGACACTAAATTAACAATGTATTAACTCAATTTCAGGATGCCTGGCTCTGACCTTCAGTTTGTAGACTGAATCACCATGCAACCCCTCTACAGACCTTTTTCTGATTTCTTGAAAGTTTAAACACAAGGGTTCCAACTAATTGACTCAAAAGTCTTTGCTGAAGCCTCATTGCATCATTAATTTAAATGTAAGAGGTGTAAAACAAACCTGAGGCAACAACAACACCTTTAATATATATTTTACAGCTTTGAGACTGTCTGATTGAATAGTATGAGAGAACAGAAAGATACATGTGAGTTGCTGCTTAGTTTAAGAGCCTCTCTGCAAATTTGTTGTTCCCAATCAACCTTCAGATAACCTCCCCTCTCGCTGTCAACACAGGAGCAAAGCCGCCCGCTCTAGACTTCTGTTTACCCAAAAGATCTCCAGAAGAGTCTGTTAGTCTTGGAAAACAGGACCAGAGAGGCAAAAATCAATAACTCTGGGAGGGTGCTCCTCAAGTTTAAATGTCCAGATGTGTAATTTATGAAGCGGTTTGTTTACTTGTTAAGCTTTCATTTTTATCCATCTGATCCCTCTCTGCCCCTTTGACTTGAAAAAGATGATTTGTTCTTGTTTAAAAAGTGGTGTTTTTTTTATGTGAGAAAGGACAATTAAAATGTCCCAGACCCAAAATAAATTTGTCCATTTGTACACTTTTTATTGATTTTGTTTATACAATAAATAAATAAGTGAAAAAAGTAAAAAATAAATGTTCAGTTTTTTTCAAAAGAAAAAGTGTCGTTATAATCAGCATAGTATTTTGCGAATAAAGGACATTTACATTCTGTCTATCTAAAGCCTATGGTATTCATTTAATTGTATAATTCCAGATTGAGTGGAAAATGTGTTCATCGCAATTTAACAACATTACATCCATCCTTGACGATTACACTAGTTCCCGAGGGCTGCAATGAATAACTCCCCTGACTGCTTTACAAATGTCGTGGAAACATTGCCAGAATGTTTCGCAGGGAGTCATTTTGCACAGGGTGTAAATGAGCAGCGCTTGTGATGGTTTGGAATGGCGCTGAGATGGACAGGCTGTAAATCATAATTAAGACAGAGAAAATAAGGCTGTCATATTTCTGTCTCTCTTTCCGAAGAAGGCTGACAGGCAGAGATTGCAGCTGATTGACAAAGATGCAAATTTAAACTCCATTATAATATCTTTATGTATCTTTATGATTGGTATGAAATGGATGTTATTTTGGGGCAAAGTGAAGAATATCAATGTCTATCCAACAGTATCTTTGACAGCCTGTTACTGTGGCTTTATGAGAGACGGGATAATTGTTTATAACTGTAATGACCATGTGTCCATCCGAGACAAACTTTACAGATGGCATCCACAGGTGACTGTTCTGTCAATTTTGGTATAATTGGTCAGTGTTGATTCTTCCTG